TCATACAAGTTTGGAACAGCATGGGGGTGAGTAAATGATGACAGAATATTCATTTTTGGGTGAACTATCCCTTTAAGAAGCATTAAGTGGAAAATTGGAAGTGGAAAATTCTGAATGGTTAAATTCCTTGATTCCCATCCCTAATTCCTTAGTAGCACAAATCAAGAACAGTTGTGATGGAATGAATAGACACATTCCTTGAAATTCTCCACATTTTCATGCATGCTTTAGTCAGCAAGGAGGCCTCAGGCACAAACCATAGTACAAAGTGGGATTCTGAGAGCGTAGTGGGATCTATGGCTTACATACTGTGAATTCTGCCTGTGAACTTGCCATCACCATGGAGACTCTTTTCATCTGCTTACAGTCTAGGTGAACGATTGGTTAAGCCTTCAGGAGATCTCATTGGTTATGTTGGGTTTGCACTTATGATGACTCCTTCAAAGGAGCCTTCAAGTATCTTCCATCGTTCTTCTACTAAATCCCTTGCTAGGATCTACATTAGACCTGACAAGCCACAAGAAACCAGTCCTCACCCATTATCTCAAGAACCATCAGAAATGTATTGCACTCTCTCATTGGGGGCCCATGGGTACTTCTCTAAAAACGTGGCATTGAGAAAAATGGCCACATCCTCTTTTTGTTTGCCTAGACTTGTTCCATCTCCTGATTTCCACTGAGTAATGACTATCTCCATTCAGGCTAAATGGCAGGTCAAAAGAGCTCAGTGAGGAACGTCTGTTGTCTGAACGTTCTTCAACCATGGCTGCTCAATGCGCTCTCATGTCTTTTGAGTCCAAATCCCAACATCTTTTTAGGGCTTAAAGGCTATTCCTTCCAGACACGGACAACACAGATTTATGATATTGATGGAAGGGAGCCCAGAGTCTTGTTTGTGTTGTAATCTCTCCAGTCAATAAGCTTTTAGTCAAAGGATCATCCAGTATGGCCATCTAGTACATTATCTCAATGTTAATGTTGTTTTTGTTGTGACATGCGTCCTATTTAGACAAAAGATTTGGACCGATGCAGTGACATTCTATTTCCCTTGAGGACACCCCCCACTCCTCACAAAACAACATGCAATACCAGTGCAACAGCGTAAGCCTTGGCAATGAGTAAATGCAATAGCCTGGTAAGATTTAAATGAATAAAATGGCACTGAAACAAACAAGTCCAATACTGCATCTCTCATACTTTAATGCTATTATCATATTTCACGCTAAACCACCCACTGGAGGATGAAAAGTGTGCGGTTTAGCAAGTCTCACGAGGCTTTGTGGAATTTGTTTGTGACGATATTATGGTTGTTGGCCTGCTCATCTGTGTTAACAGGGAAACTCTAATAGTGGAACACAAAGCTGAATGATGGATTTATTCTCAGATATTTCCAAACCAGAATTAAAGGAAAGCAAAAACGTATTAGCTTCTTGGCAAGCTGCCATCTAGGACCTCATATTTGACTGATTTGGTATGCAAATAATGCAATATGCACACAAATATTGGGTAAAATAGTCAATTTATTATTTTTATTGAATGAATTTAAAAACTATTTAAATATAAACATTTCTCTTGCCTTGTCTGCCATCTTTGATTTTATTTTTTGAGCTTGTTCTGCTGGTCCCCTTTTCAAATGTTTCTATGGGTGAGTGCAATTTAGAAAATACATTTTGAAACTATATATATGGTAAACTATATTAATAAATGGCATAAAACTAGTCAATTGTTAGTTCATGATATCTAATTTAATAATTAATGGTAACGAATTGGAACCGTTGTTAAGTGTTACTGTTTGTTTATGCATATATTGATTCATATTTATATATAAATAAACAAGCATGGACTAAAAACATCAAGACTTCAAAAAAACAATAGCACATACTCTGTCATATAATCATTATTATTTAACTTATTTCAAAATGCTCAATTACTTGTTTTTATGTGAGTACTTGACAGCAACACTCGATTATTTCATCACCATTATTTCATCATTTAACTCCATAGCAGAAACTTGCCAATAATATTGCACTTCATATTTTCTTTGGCTGTTGCATCATGCTCTCTTTCTGCCTGAATCTTCTTGTTACGCTAGCAACCCACCAGTCTCTCGTGATGTAAGCTCTCTTGTGGCCTGAACTCATTCAGATTCAGAACTCAAGCAGTCTTTTTTTTTTCTCCCTCCCTGTGCTGTTCTTTTCTCCCATCTTGCTTGGCAACAGATGAATGTTTTAGCATCTGTTATCGTGGCTCAAAAACTCCTGAGTCAAATCTGTTTTAGTGACACAGTGTTCTTCACCACAGATTATTAAGATAGAGTAGGAGTCAACCTTTCTCTCAGATTTGAGGGGAGAGCCAGTGTGTCGTCCAACAGTAGGTCAAGAACTGAGGCGGTGTGATGTAATGATCTCCATGAGTCACTTCCTGCATGTCCTTTTTGGTCGTCTCATCTCAATCACAAGTGTGAGAGTCTGAAGGAAACCGAGGGAAGGAAAGTTCTTGGCCGGCATTTGCAGTGGCAGCTAGCTTTTTGTTTGTTCTGGCTCCTTTGAGGAAAAAAACGTATGTAGATGTTGACGTGGTGCACTCGCTTCCGATTGATCCTTCATTTTAATTTTATAAAACGTCCCCTCATGCCACTCCAAACCAAGCTGGTGAGCATCCTGTTCAGTTAATCCAAATGCTATTGGTACTTTCATGTAATCGAACGTGATGATTTTATCCAGACGTGCAAATGGGATTCGATAGCTTTTTGTGCAATGTAAACATTCTTCAAAATGTTTTTTTTTTTATTCCACAGAAAAAAATAAGGTTCTACAGGTTTGAAACGACATGAGGGTGACTAGGCTAAATTATGTCAGATTGTTTTATTTTTGGAAAAAGAAACAATTTTTCATTTTGTTTTATTCCATTTACTCAAGATTATTTTGGAAGGATTTATAAACCCATTTAAAAAAAGAGAACACAATCATTAGAATAAATTATGTTATGCTCGTGGGTTTTTTTTTATTGTATGCCCAACATATTGCTGCAACAGCTGCTAAACAGAGCTAAAGAAGTGTCACATTTCACTTAAACAGTACACATTTGCTTACATTCCTACAATAAACACTAAGCCAAAAATCATATTGTGCTAGAAGCGTAGAGGATTTCACAAATAAGTTTCCTGAACAACAATCAGCTGACCCAATTCCTTCACCACTTTAAATGATGCATAAATCATTTGAAACTAAAAAACAAAAAAAGCGCTGAAAACATGTTTTAACAGGACTGTAACTTTGTTTTGTCTGGCAGCTAATGTTGTTAATAATGTGAGAAAAAAACAATAAAACCCACATTTTCCCAGTAGGAAGGCTAATTTCAATCTTTTGATGTGGACACCACCATTGCCACTCAAATGCCACTGTTTCCCACACTGGTTTCCAACATAAACATACTCCCCTCCCCCGTTCACCTCATGTCTCGTGCCCTGGAGCCCAACCAAATGTAACCTCACATCTGGATCTCTGGTTTAGCCGGGCTTGTCTGGGGTTAAACATAATCGACTATAGATGACCCAGTCTGGTGTTACTCTCCGGTCACTGCAGAATCTGTTAAATCTTTGGGATTCATCGAGGTTGCTAATCAAGGCTACTAGTTTTTTTTTAAAAAGCCATGGTGCACCACATGCAGATTGTTTGTTATATTGCAGTGTCAGACTATTTCAGGTTACTTCCAGCTAGTCTTGCGTTCTCCACGTGAAGCCCTCATTGTTTGGAGCACTTCACTCTGGGTAACGTAACACTCAAACCAAGGAGTTGGAGAAATTGCTTTCTTTGGCAACATCGAGCAAAACCTGAGCCAGAGAAGTGTGCAAGGCCTTATTACCTGCCTGGCTAATGAATCTCCACACGATGCCAAGAGCTAGCTTGTCATATGACTTCCTGTGAAACAACATGCCTTTAAGCTAATTGGAGTGTGCGGCTGGAAGTGGAAAAATTAAGAAGTGGGGCAAAGGGGTTTTGAGCTATAAGATGCCTGTTGGCAAAGCTACCGAGCACATGTTTTAATAAGCTCCATCTCCAAATGCGAGTCAGTTAGCATATTGTTATATAGCAAGAGTGTCATACAAGATCCTGTCCTCCTTCCTCAAAGTAATTCCACTGGCTAAGACTGGGTAATCATTGCGTTATTAGAAATCATCAAAAAAAAAATTAAAAGCTACAAATGGTTAAATGATCCATTTCAATTTCTGGTAAGGTTAAATGATCCATTTCAATTTCTGGTAAGCTGGTAAGAACAGCTTTTTTGATTAGCTAGATATAATAATGTGCTACATGTCATCATTAGTATTTGTTTTTACCATTTATTTGCATTAAGAAGCACAATATACACTGAAAAGTTAAGTTTAGGGTCAGTAAGATTTATTTTTAAAAGAGATATTATATTGTTATATACTATTATAAATATTTATATTGTTAGAAATATTTTGTTACAATATAATATTATTTTCAAATTTCAATATATTTCAAATATACTTTCTATTTTTCAAAGAATCCTGAACAAAATGTATCATGGTTTCCATAAAAATATTAAGCAGCACAACTGTATTCAACATTGATAATAATAAGAATTCTTTCTTGAGCACCAAATTAGCCTATTCGAATGATTTCTGAATGATCATGTGACACTGAAGACTGGAGTAATGATGATGCAAATTCAGCTTTACCATCACAGGAATAAATCACAAATATATAAAAATAGAAAACACTTCTTTTGAATTGTAGTAGTATTTCACAATATCAGTGCTTTTGTTGTATGTTGATAAAATGAAAACAGCCTTAAAAAAATCGTAGTGTATACTGTTCTTGCATTTTGCATAGCTGTTTGAAGGACTATGGCTGCTTATTGACTTTGGCTTAACTTGCATCAAGGATTCATTAGTCATTGATTGCACATACAGTATCCCCAGAAAACAATTTTGTGCATTTAAAGAATTAATTAGTTTGTTTGTTTTCTTGCAGCTGTGTTGCGGTAGAAGAGCACCATGCTGTGGACATTGACGTTTACCACTGTCCCAACTGTGACGTCCACCACGGACACTCCCTGAGTATGTATCCACTTTTTTGACTGTTAGACCCTATTGGTTCACCCTTACCAGTAAATTGAAATTAAGCTCCTCAGACTTTTCATTTTCATGTTTGGAATATGTTACCAACCGAATTATCTGATGGAGACATGAACTAGTTTAAGAGGATGCTGTTCATGTCTGGTCACTGTGATCAACAAGCAGTAGTGCACAACAGATGTTATGGCATTGTGGTAGTATAGTAATGACTGCGATTATTGTTCCGAGGCCAGACGTATTGAGTTCTCTCTGCCTGATTTTACAGTGAAGAAGAGAAGCAACTGGCACAGACACGACTACACGGAGCCAGATGACGGCAGTAAGCCAGTGCAGGCTGGCACCTCTGTGTTTGTGCGGGAGCTGCAGGCCAGGACCTTCCCTAGGTATGTGTGCCAATTGTGGGATGCCAACACAGTCACGACAAAGCACTCCAGCGCTCGGTGCCACCCATGATGCCACACGATTCACATGGGCACAGCTAATGCACTTCTTTGAAGACCGCTCATTGTGGCAGTGGCCTGAAAAGTTTTATTGTAGTGCAAGTCAGTACTTCAGCTAAAGTAATAGTTCCCCCCAAAAAGGATATTTTAAAGACTGTGCTTGTCGCTCTTTTCTATATAATTTAATGACAAGCTTCACTAAGGTTGCAAAAGCACTATAAAATTACACTACTGTTCAAAACTCTCTTATGCAGTAAAAACAATAATATTGTGAAATATAAAATGTTTAAATGTCCAGTTTAATATATTTAAAAATGTCATTTTATCCTTCAGTGTCACATGATCCTTCAGAAATCATTTTAATATGCTGATTTGCTGATCAATAAAAATGTCTTATTATTATCAAATGTTTAAAACAGTTGTGCTGTTTTTGTAAAAACCATGACGATTTTTTTATGCATTTATGTGAAAGGGAAATCTTTTGTAACATTTATAAATTCCTATACTGTCACTTTTGATCAATTTCATGATTTCTTGCGTAATAAAAGTATCAATTTCTTTAAGAAACTAAATCTTACTGGCCCCAAACTTTTAACTGTGTATGTTCCAAGTCTTTCCACATCTTTTTGTAAGAAACAGACCAGCATTTTTTCCCCAGTCATTATTCAGTTACAAGCTTTGCATCTATGGAGTTGTAAACCACTGCAATTAAATAATTGAGTCAGTAACTTAAATCAGTTTGATTAATGAACACATTTTTTAGACCTTTTCATGTAGACCAAATCGTTTTATTCATGCATTGAACATTAATACTTCTCTCATGAATAGCTTTATCATATTCAAGATTTTCAGTGAACAACTAGTTTTTTTTTAATATAACAAACTGTTTAAATTTTTGTCTGAATAGTTTATACTTCATGTTAATCACGCCCGCTCTCTAATCAGTAATTATCCTGTTTTATTCTGCAGTGGAGATGAGATCTTGCAGCAAATGCAGGGCGGTCATGTCACCCAGAGGTATCTGGAGAGACATGGCTTCCGCTATCCCATCGTTGTAACCAAAATGGAAGGGCTTGGTCTCCAATTACCTCCGCTGGATTTCTCCGTCAAGGATGTAGAACGCTACGTTGGTAAGGAGGGAGATGAGTTAGTATCATCCTCTTCCCCCTTTTCCTTCCACCTTTACCCATTGTTCTCCACATTATAGTACTGAGCAGCAGCGCTTCACGCTTTAAATATTAATTCCATTAAGAGTTATCTTCATGTAATGGAGTTGCATTACAGTCCATCCACTGCGGGGATCAGATGTTAATCTTAGGTGAGTCAAATGGGTCTAACCTTTTAGCAAACATTAATCAACCCATAATGAAGTAAGTGTGTAGATAAAAGTGGTGTACCTTACACCAGCCTAGAAGGCCTCATCTCATTGAGAGTCTGGTCTTTATAGTGTCCGATTACACAGCCGCTATATCTTTCCCACTGAGCTTTGTCCGTAAAGTTTAGGTTACAGCTGGCTCCTCTACCTCTCACATTTGTGTGTATAACATATTGTTATCATGATACACACAGCGATCAGCTGCTCCATTTGGGTCCTGGAGGGGTGCCTGTAGCCCACTGGGAATGAAAGTGTGGTTATACTGCACTTACTGTGAGGCTACTGCCACACCTTCTGGTGTCTGTCGGGCCACTGCCCACTGCTAATGTTTTAGCCCTTTACCAGCCTGCTAAGTTTCTTTTCCACAGATTTTCAGATGTTCGCCTCATTTACTTCCAGTTCACACTGAAGAATATGATTTGTAGTGTGTTGTGACCCAACAAGTTTGGTCCAAACTTTTAGGCATTTCCTCTGCAAACACATGCTAATTGTTGACATTTTCGCTCCTGTTCCTGCAAATGTTGATTTGCTGGCAAAATGAGCTGTTGAGATGCATGACGGGGAATTTGTGTGAAATGTCAGTGATGCTTGTTTATTTGATCAGCTCTTTAACCTTTTCTAAGCAAGGAAATATGTGTGACTTTTTTTTTAGCAATGACCGTCGATAGCTGCGACATCCCTTAGCATTGTTTCAAGCTGATTTCTAAACAGCTGGCTGATGCACAATTTTTTGCTGGAACAAAAACCAAAATTAAGGATTTCATTTGAAAACTAGAACCAATAATAACATTTTGGTAATTAAATTAAGGTAATTTAACTTTATATGCTGTTCTGGGTGCTGTGTACTCTATTAAAGTTGAACTAAGTAACTTTTTTACCTTAACCGAACAGCTTTGGAGTCATTGTAATGTTTATATTACTGATTTTGTGTTGAATGGTGGTCGTCTCGCACCCCCCTGGTGCCTGTGAGCCCCAAAACCACCCTTGCAACTTTGGGCCGGCGGGCCGCCGGCCTCAGTGTTAGGAAGTATCGTGTGATATCAGGTCTCGCGAGGTAACGAATTGCTTTACGGCAAAAAACAGATCTGATAAAATTCTGATAAAATGAGCATCAAACAGAAATAACCCGGCGCCGTATACATGTGGTGTTCGAGGCGCACATACAATACAGACTGCCGACAGTTAAACAGGGCGCGCGCAGCTCTTAAAGGGGCCATACCTTATTTCCACTCGTTACAGCGTCCATCCTACTGAACAGGTACCGGTGTACAGGGGGAGGGGATCCGGCCGTGAGTGCGAGCCATCTCTGCGTGAGTGCTATTCACGACAGTACAAGTGCTCCACAGCGACTCTAGGGGTCGCTGTTTGACAAAAACGGAATTCCTACTTAGTGCTGCTTTAAACCGTAGTTTTTAGGTAACCAGCATATTGCTACTCTTGCATCATTTCACGGTAAAGTGCGTCCACTTTGCTGACTTGTTGGCGGCATTCAAAAGCTGAAAAATGCTCCCTTCGGAGGATGCATTCTAAGGAAGGAAGGCATCAAGGCACATCCGAATCCAATGTTAGCCTCACTTCCTGTCGTTTTTGAAGGCAGCATAGATGTATCCTTTGCTGCCTATAATATCCCTCAATTCTGTGTGACAGTTGAGCTAAAAACAAAAACAAAAAAATGGCATCTGAAAGTTGTAGTTGGTGGTCAGTTTATGTGTAACTGTACGTTTTTGACTTTTAATGTTATTTCTAGCAAGAAATTACTATTATAGTAATTAAATATTCGCTTGGGTATCACCAAAGCTCGCTCTATTCTGTTGTAGATCATTAAACCGTTCCAATGCCTTAGAAGTCTCGTGAGGTGCCTTTGTGCGCAAATGCTTTCTGCTAAATCATTTCATGATAAGACTGCAAGGCAAGAAGACAGAAGCATAAGCTTGGTTGGGCGCACAAAATAACAGTTCACCGGATTAAGTGCTAATTTCACTGTTTCACTCAATGATTTCAGCCCTTCAAAACGATCACTAATCTTGCTGTATATAAAGAACACTTCCCATTCTTTTCTGGTCTATGTGCAAGAGATTGTGATGTGCTTTTTAGCATTCGTAGCATAAAGCTAAAAACATTAAATTTGAGAAGTGTGAGAAAATCTGTAGACTGATGCTATGCGAGCCAAAAATCTATGTATATAGTTGAATTGCTTGATGAATGTTCAAGTTAACTGCAGTGACGTTATGTCTGGGGCAATGCACTAAAAGCTCTAGCTTTTGTCTTTAATGCACTTTTGACAGGATAGCTGCCCAGCTAATTCAGTTACTTCAGTGGGCAGCTTGCTTGCATGGCTCCCTAGCCAGCAAAATCGAACATTGTGGGTTTTTCCCCATTGCCATTTGCTTGTAATGAAGAACTGCACTCTACGCCTGCTTTTGTGAAAGCCGCTTTTGTCCCACACTGTTTTGGGTACATTTTATGTCTCCATAACTATAAAAATGTTTGTTGTTACTGGTTAAAAGGAGTACTTAATGGCATAAATGTTATAATTTATGCACATATAAACACATATTACAGTCTTGGAGCTTGAAGTGCCTGGATTTTTTTTTAAATCAAACCCGTATTTGTGGATTTGGAACCATAAAGGATCCGATAGACATTTTTATTAGCAGTGTTGCAAGTCATGATCCCAGAACAGCAGTAAAGGATCTCTTTATGGTCTACTTTGTAGGATGAGTTTCTTTCTGGCTTGGTACACTAGGGTGCCGTTTGTGTACACAAGCACCAGCTGTCCTGCTCGGTGTTTGAGGTTTTTCCCAGCAGCTTTCTGGTGGGGTTTGATGTTCTGCCTGCTAGTTGTCTTTCTCACAGTTATAAACATCAGCTGATTTCTTGTTAAGAAACATCAAATAAGATCTTTCATTGTAGTTTCGGTGGAGAGTTGGCCTTATTTGAGGACAATGGGAAACTTTTTAGTACCAAGAGTCTAGTCATTTGACATGATGGGCATTTAAAATATGATTTATGGCCATGTTGATTATTGCAATTTATCCCTGTTGAGTTTGTTTGGGTAATGATATTTGTTGTAGTATTCTGTTCCTTTGATGCCCACTCATGCACATCACTCAGTTTGCTCCCTTTGCTTATAGGAGGTGACAAAGTGATTGATGTCATCGATGTGGCCAGGCAAGCGGACAGTAAGATGAAACTGAGCACCTTTGTGAAGTATTACTACAGCCCTCAGCGGCCGAAAGTCCTGAACGTCATCAGTCTGGAGTTTTCAGACACCAAGTTAGTATTGTTTGAGAGCGACTAATTTGCAATTACTGACAGATAACACAAAGGTGCCTTTTTTGAGTGCAGGAAAAAAAAACTTACATTTTGATGACAACTTGAATGTCTTGCACTCAGGATGTCAGAGCTGGTGGTGGTCCCCGATATCGCTCAGAAGATGTCTTGGGTGGAGAACTACTGGCCTGATGACTCTTACTTTCCCAAGCCGTTTGTGCAGAAGTACTGTTTAATGGGTGTGAGGGAAAGCTATACCGACTTCCATATTGATTTTGGAGGCACATCTGTGTGGTACCACGTCCTGTGGGTAAGTTTGCATCACAAACCTTTGATCTTTCTATTCATTAGATATTCCTGAAAAAAATGTATCACGGGTTCCACCAAATGAATGCTTCTTGAACAGTAAATCAGAACATTAGAAATGATTTCTGAAGGATCATGTAACAATGAAGACTGGAGTAATGATGCTGAAAATTCAGATTTGCCATCACAGGAATTAATTACATTTAATTACAATTAAACTGTATTAAAATAGAAAACAGTTGATCTATACAGGGTGGGAAAAAAGTTATTTTAAATTGTAATAATGTCACAATATTACTTATTTTGAATTAAATAAATGCAGCCTTGGTGCGCATGAGACCTCTTTCAAAAACTAAAAATCTTACAGACCACCAACTTTTTAAAGATTTTTCAAAAACACTAACCAAAATGAGTAATGATCAATGACTTATTAATTGCCTTACCTGTAGGGGGAGAAGATCTTTTACTTGATAAAGCCGACCCCGGCCAACCTTGCACTATACGAGGAGTGGAGCTCATCCCCGAACCAGAGCGAAGTGTTCTTTGGGGAGAAAGTGGACAAGTGCTACAAGTGTGTCGTGCGGCAGGGAACAACACTTCTGATTCCAACGGGTTAGCATTATTTCTTCTTTTTGGGCACATCAGTTTTATTTTTTATTCTATTTTATTTTATTTATTATGATGCTATTCAAATAAAATAAAATAGAATAATTGAAATTAATTAGCTTTTTTTGCTGAGGTTGCACAATAAATTAAATTATACTATAGTAACTTTGAGGTGTATGTATTTTATTTTATTTGTTATTATAATTAGGTCATCCTAAGGTACTTTAAAGGGGACCTATTATGCCCCTTTTTACAAGATGTAAATATAAGTCTCTGGTGCTCCCAGAATGTGTCTGTGAAGTTTCAGCTCAAAATACTTCATTCTTGCATGTCCAATTTGCCCCTATTTGGCTGTGAGCAAAAGCACGCCATTTTCGTGTGTGTACCTTTTAAAGGAGTAGTTCACTTTAAAATGAAAATTACACTGATTTACTCACCCTCAAGCCATCCTAGGTGTATATGACTTTCTTCTTTCAGATGAATACAATTGGAGTTATATTGACGCTTCCGAGCTTTATAATGGCAGTGAATTGCAACCAACAGATTGAAGCTCAAAGTGCATCCATCCATCATAAACAAACTCCAAACTCCGGGGGGGTCCGGCTCCGCAAAGCGAGGAGTTTGTGTAAGAAAAATATTCATATTTCAAACTTTATTAAGTAAAATAACTACCTTCCGGGCCAAACGAACATACGGATTTGACTTAAGTGTAAAGCGCAACTCGTGCGAGTAAAGCGACATACTGCTGATATTTACTCTACGCTATGACGCACTACGCTACTTCCGACGTCATAAGTTGCGCGTTAGCCGCAAGTAGACTGCGTTTGGCCGGAAGCTAGAATTTTACTTTGTAACGTGTTAAATATGAATAATTTTCTTCCACAAACTCATCGCTTTGCTTCAGAAGGCCTTTATTAACCCCCCGGAGCCATGTGGAGTTTGTTTATGATGGATGGATGGACTTTTTTGAGCTTCATATCGATGGTTGCAATCCACTGCCATTATAAAGCTTGGAACATTTATTAATATAACTCCGATTGTATTCGTCTGAAAGAAGAAAGTCATATACACCTAGGATGGCTTGAGGGCGAGTAAATTTTCATATTAAAGTGAACTATTCCTTTAAATCCAAAAAAGGTGATGCTCCCCACCCCTTTTCCAGAAGAGGGCAGAGCCTTTACATATCATGCTTCAGATACTCTGCAACAAACAAAACTGGGGAATCTCACGCAGCTAAATTGTCAGGAGCAGTGTTCAGCCTTATATGTTTGAACCGGAGTCGGACACAGATGAAGAGACTCCGGAAGAAGTTACAACGTTTTTAAATGGTTAGTTGTTTATGTGATGTAGTTGTTGTGGAGTTAGCTTTATTCAACTTATCGATTAGCATCTTCCGCCATGATCATCTATAAATTGTTGTACAGGTGCTCGTGTGGAAACTGTAGTAGCATGTTGGCATCAACCCATCTTTGATAATCAACTTTTGTGCAAATCCAGCATTGAACTGTCCGGCGTAAAATGATTTGCACAAACATATAAGACTTTACCTAATTTCTTCGGCACATTTCCTTCATAAATGAAATTCATCCACTGTGTCCTCAAAAAATGATTTTACTTTCTGATGGTGCAAAAACTATACCTTTCACATTGAAGGAGAAAAATGAAGTCTTATTCATTTCATTTTAGGGTTATTCAGGGTTTATTAGGGACACACGAATGTTGGAACTGGTATTCCACTTACTGTGGAGCAGCTGTCTTTTAATGGTGGTTCCACAGGAAGGCCAGGGCTGATTTGTGTTTTTCGTTTCAGGTTCAGACGTAGCAGGAATGAGCAGCCACTCGTACCACCCAGAGAGCCACATGAATCTTAGCTACATCTTATCCAGTATATTGTTCATTAGTGAAGCTCCACAGCCTTTTTTGAGTTACAATACAAACATCTAGTGTATCGTCATCATGACTTCGTATTATATATGAAGTCAAATGATGGGGTATAAATGGGTGGCATCATAAATCTGAACATTTCATGAAACCTCACACTCAAAATGAGCAGGTCATGAGGATACGTGGTCTCTTAAATGAATCTGGTTCCCAGCTGTGTTGATGGCACTAGCAGACCGGTTTAAAACTTTCACATCCCCCTGCTGTGAGACAGACTTCAAAAGTCCTTCAAAAGCTACGATATGAAAGTTGCTCATTGTCAGGGCTCTGCCTCTGAATCTGATGTATATTTATGCTTTCCCACACTTCGCATGTGGCCTGTATGTTGAAGCGTAGACAGGAAGTCGTGGATGTAGTTGACAGACTGGTTGTTTGGTGGGCTCTCTGCAGTCTGCAGTGGTTTTGAAACACTGGGGGTTTGATTCACCTCAGAAGATCTCAGTTAGCCGTATAATCATGGCCCACCCACCAAATGTATGTGAACTTTTGCTTGCCATTAAAGTCCTGTAAATTTACTGCATTTACACTGTTTGTTGTAGGAGCATGTTGGTAAAGTTTGAACTTGGAGTGACATATCAGTGGATTTTGTGAAATTGGTCTCTCGGTCCAGCTTTGCCGCACACCGGATATGAATGTCTTACTGTTGGCTAGAAAGGGACAGCTGCAGTTCAGACCAGATGTCTGAGTGTGTCTGCATCTGTCGGTCAGCTGTTGACACACTCTTGACCTCTCTTGCAGGATGGATCCATGCAGTTCTCACCTCTCAGGATTGCATGGCTTTCGGTGGGAACTTCCTCCACAACCTCAACATAGGCATGCAGCTCAGGTGAGCGAGTGCTTTCACTCTTCAGAAATCAGAATCGGAGTGCTGTTGCTTCTGTTAGTCTTGGTGTCTCTTAAAAGTTGACCAATGCGTTTTGCAGATATACATTTTCTTTGTTACATTGATTACATTGTCTAATATTATTGTGTTTTTCATATCAGCATATTGGTTTCTGAGTTGTGTACTTGTTGTGGCTCAATTGTAACTACTTATGTCCTCATATTAGGTGCTATGAGATGGAGCGGCGTCTGAAGACTCCAGACCTCTTTAAGTTCCCTTATTTTGAGGCCATTTGCTGGTATGTAGCAAAGAATCTGCTGGAGACTCTCAAAGGTACGTCGTCTTAAAATCACTCAGCATGTCAATACAGGGCACTTAAATCATTGGCGTGCTGCCACTCCGTTCCCTGGTGTCCATCCTAATCGTCTGTTTATTGTCTGTCGTCAGAATCACGAGAAGATAACTGCCTGCCTCCAGAATACCTGATCAAGGGAGTGAAAGCTTTGATAACTGCACTGAGGAACTGGCTAAAGAGAGAGGTGAAGGAAATTGTCTTACCACACAAGAAACTGCATCATGATATCAATTCCGTCATATCAGCAGCGAACCGTACCCCAGACTATCCTTTTTATGCGGACTCTGGGTACTGTTCGCAGGTGCGCACCCGAGTTCGGGAAACAGCGTTTACATCTTTTAAACCAACCAAAATCTGATGTCAATTGAACCCGGGTGCGCACCAAAACTGCTAGTGTGAAATCACCCTTAAAACAACTTAACTCTAAAGCCACCTGCAATCAAACCATTGTACATTGTAATCCCTGCTGAAATAATGAGGGCAAGGGGCATCCCAAAAAGGTCGATATCTGGTGTCAGTGGTACTGGGTAAGAACCTGAGGTTTGTTCTGTGACACAAACCCCTTATTGTCTACCATGTGTGCCCATTTGCCCAGGTCACAGAGCCAGCCAGCGAGGTCCCTGACCATATCAGACCCAACCATCTCATTAAAATGCTCACTAAGGAAATCCAGTACCTTGAGGTAAGCCAGACGGCTTGAAACCATGGCCATACACAGGCTTTTAGAAATACAGAGGTCTGAAAACTGAGCTTGCTTAGGGGGGTTTGGGTTGGATTTCGATTCTCCTGATCTACATATGTGCATTTTAAGTAAACCTAAAATGTAAAGTGTAAAATGGTCTTATTACGAATCAGTTTGTGCCGTCTAGTGTTCTTCAGTTTGAGTTGTTTAAACTTGAGTCGTTGTAGTTGATCTCACAATGCTGTTTTAAACACTCTAGGAGTATCAGAATGGGAATTGTGGAAGCAAGCCAATGAAATTTCAAGGAAGCTCTGTGTGTCCTTCCACGCGGTCGGCACACGAGAGAGGGTCTCACGCGCGCATGAACGCCAGACGCCTTCGTGACCACCACCATCATCATCATCACCATCATCATTCTCACAACCTTAAAGTTCCTTCCAACCTTGACATCTTCGAACAGCACACACAAGAAGTTTTAAAAAGACTTGAGATGGGTCCTTATGAGGAGGTAATTGGGATTTATTAATACCATAAATGCCATTCAGGCTAATCTATCTATAGGGAATAATTTTCCTGAACAATCGTCTTTCAGGATGCCACCTTTAACCAGAAGGTCAACGGCAAGTTCAACAAGGTCTCTACGGCCTCAGCTGCAATGGCAGAGCGGAGTTTGGACACTGACTTGCGACTGGTACTGTGCAATGGACGTATAGTCAGGTATACCACATTAACCTATAACGATTATCACACATTAGTAATTGCAATAATTGTAGCACTTAAAATGACCAAATACAAATGACTCATACTGGCCTTCATGATGTTGTTAAATTTAAAAGGATTATGTAAGGTAATAGTCATTTTAGCACTTTACTTGCAGTTGCAATGTTTTTCTTGTCCTATTTCGGCTTTTTTTGGTCATAAAATATTGGGAACACTTTCAAGTCCTTTTTACCCCTCCGATTGTCCACACAGAGATAACAGGCTGCATGTTGGTGAAAAGAGACCAGGGATAAAGGAAGAGGAGGACCTTAGAGATGTGAAGAGGGATTTACTCAAGGTTAAACCAGTACCTAAAGAGGAGGAACAGGAAGTGGATATTCGAATGAATGAGGATAAGCATCATCATGTAGCCAGAGAAGTGACATCCTTTACAGGTACCCTCAAAAGTGTCAAATTCAACCCTGCAATTTTATTCACAATTCTTGTGAATAAAGTTTTCAAATATTTTTTTTAGTTAATATTATGTACATCATTTTTTTCTCCAAGCGATTTTGTGTGCTCTAATTAGTGTTATTTTAGTGTTATTTGAATTAGCTTTTATTTAATAAATTAATATACATTTTATAATAATATATTTGTTGTATTATCTGTTTTAATGTTTTTTTTATTTTAATTTTTAGTTATTTTTTTATGTGCTTTTTAAGTTAAATTTTTTTTTTTTTTAGTTTTAATGCATCAACTTAAATTTATTTCAGTTTATTGCCACTTTTTTTTATTTCAGCTTTATTTCAATTGACAGAAATGTTTTTAAAAGTGTTAGATTTAGTTAACGATAATAAGGCTAGCTCTAATCACAAGCATCACCCATGTTAAAACAGTTTGTATTACTTATTCTCTCAGCTAGTGCATGAAATCTCACTGATATTTTTGTCCCTGCCAGTAATAAGGAGCTATGTCTTCCACAGATCTTAGTAAACAAGAGAATTCAGATCTCAGGAACAGAGAAACAGTACATTCAGACATCTCATCAGACTCTGAATCAGAAGCGGAGTTCACTACACGGGTATGTTGCCATTTCCCTTCATGCACAGGAAGAGCATAAAGTCCTAGTTTAGGTTTAATCTGCTCTTCTTATCCATGCAGAAAAAGAACTGCTCTGAGGAGGAATCTGAAAGCTCTTCAGAGGAAGAGGAGGATGAAAAGATTAGGAGGAGTGGAGACGATCAAAATGAGGCCAAAAGTTGCTCCGGCTACTTCAAGGAGTCCAGGCAAAGACTTGACCATTTTGAGAAATGTCTTAAAGGGTGAGAGCTGATAGATTTTTTAGATGCCTGACATTGTCACAAGACAACAAAATGCTGGGGAAGATTTTAGGGTTGTGCGTGTGTAAAACTAATCTCAAATCACATTTGCAGTGAGTCTGCTACCTCGCCAAGCAAAGAAGAGGATGCTATCCAGGGAATGCTGTCTATGGCAGGGCTGTTGTATTCTCACCAATCAGAAGATCCCAGCAGTTCACAGGAATCCTGGTGGTCCCGAAGCAACCATCACTCCCCTGACTACAGTAAGACTTCATGAGAGTTTTTTATCGCTAAACAGCTTCTTTTTTCCCCCTATAACGTAAACGTATTATTTTGATGAATATTGCATGTTCTTTTTCAATTCTCAGGTAAGAAGGAGATTGCGTCAGGAGAGGAGAACCAGGATTCAGACAGCAATTCTTCACAGGTAACTTCTTAATGAGTTTTATTCAATATTTGCATACGTCTGTAAACCCAATCTTAATCTGGCATACTGTTTAGAGTGTATCAGTCATGTTCCAGAAGTAAAAACTGTAATTAAACCTTTAAAAACAGACCTATTATGAACTCTGGGGTTGTTAATCAATGGTATATGCCTTTGTTTAAGCCATCTGTTTGCATCATTTAACCTTATTTTTAAAATAATCGTGTTTAAAGCGGAATTCGTGGTAAAAACTACATTACCCAAGATGTTGTATAAAATTCCAGCAATCAGAGAGTTCCACCAATCAACAATATATATTTTGCAGTTAACTTAAAATAGTGTTTCTATAGGTGTAATCAACAACATAAAATGGATAGTGTAATATTTCACCATAGTTTTATTCTGATTGTCATTCGCAGGGCTACATGGGATTGTAGTTTTTCCTTCACTAAAGCCGTTAGTTCTTGTGCCTTTTGTATTTTTGTCCAATTTGCAAATACGTTTTTGCTTCAAATCAAAGTTTGTTATGTTGTGATTTAACTGGTAGCTAATTGGTTTGGCTTGTGGCTTATAATGACTTTGCATAAATTAAAGTTTGTTTTAATTTGAGAAATGAACAAACAAACAAATAATTTATATTTTATTTGATACTAATTTATGCATTTATTCAAAATAGAGGGCACATAAATGTGGCCACTGTTTCAATCTTTTTTCTTTCTTTTTTTTTTAGGAGGGATTTCGGGAGCGTGAGCATTCAGAAGGAGGATATCAGGCCAAACTCATGCATAGGATCCAGGAACACAAGAATTTCATGGACAGCCAGGGCAGTGGCAGCAACAGCAGCAGTGAGGCGTGGAGCAGTCGCACACACTCCCCAGCCCATGGGGAAAGCCTTACGTTGGGCTACCAATACTGTGAGGCATCCCTGTCGCCACCCCTGCACCCGTCCAAGAGGCCTGCCTCAAATCCTCCACCAATCAGCAATCAGGCCACCAAAGGTACGCCATTACCATTTTCTCTGCACATTAAACATATTAGTAAGTCGTTTTACTTCCGCTTTTGTATGCATTTATTTAGTTAGTTAGTTAGTAGGGGTGGGGAAAAAATGTATTCACATATGAATCGCGATTCTATCTTCTGCCGATTCTCAAATTTATTAAATTGATATTCTAAAGTGTTACATTTTTACACTTGTACAATGTACAAACTTTGCTGTACTACAAAGTTATTGACACGTCAGAGTGTTATTAATCACAATAAGCCACGAAAAAGGACTCAAGGCGGTGCTCGTGCTGACAGACACACAGCTGCCTGAAGCTCGAGCACAGATGCCGCCTCAGATGCATGCGATCCTGAATGCAGTTCTCTTTCACAGCTTGAATGCGCTTGAATGGTCAAAATACACATGCAATTATGTCAAAATGCACCTCGTGTGGAGTATTCACAAAAACAGTCTGTTATGTCCTACGTGAACGTAAACAGTTGGGAGCAAATCGGATGTGTAACAGTATATTAGATCCATGCATTTGTTCTTAAATGGACAGCAGCCTAATAAACTGTACCCATCTGTTTCAATGATGTTAATCAAAAAATAATAATCTGAAAATCACTCACTGCTTTTGACTGAATCGCTTTTTTATCTTATTATGAATCAATTTATATTATTCTGACAGTGAAGACTATACAGTGTTTTATTTTTACATTTGATTATTCAATTTCTGTAGTATTTCTTAAGACAAAACTAGGCTACTGTACCTGAAAAACTTTATTTAATTTGTATATTTTTTTCTGTTGTATTTGTCGTATTGTTTGTTTATTTGTATTTTATTTACCAGTTTTATATTTGCAAAAGTTATTTTATTTTATTTATGTACAAAGTAGTTTTTCTATTTGTCTCAGGGCTGCCTTGCTTTATTACAGAAGACTGTAATGTGTGCAATGATTACAGTCAGCTTAAATAACATTTGTTTTATAATACTGGGTTGACTAGAAATAAAGATTATAATATAATATTTATTGTTTTGTTTTATTTATTTGTTTTTAATTTATCTGTTTTTTGTTTTAAAGGGATAGTTCACTTTGAAATAAATTTTTGATATGTTTTAGCTTACCTCAAGGGCATCCAAGATGTAGGTGTCTTTGTTTCCGCAGTAGTTTCAATTTTGATATTTTTAGGTCAAACCGTTCTGGTCTGTCAGTCATATAATGCAGGTCTATGGTCACCACCTCAAAGAGCATGCACAGAGAAGTCCAAATTAAACATGATTTAATGACTCGTAAATGTAAGTACACATTGATGGCCTAAGACACGAAACGAGCGGTTTGTATGAGAAAACGAACAGTATTTATATCGTTTTTACCTCTTGTAACGCACTGACCGAAGCGCCCGTGCCCTCAGATCACTTGGACGTGGCTGTGTTTACAAGAGGTAAAAACGATATCAATGCTGTTCGTTTTCTCACACAAACCGCTCGTTTCGTGTCTTAGGCCATCAATGTGTACTTACATTTACGAGTCATTAAATCATGTTTAATTTGGACTTCTCTGTGCATGCTCTTTGAGGAAGTGACCATAGACCTGCATTATATGACTGACAGACAAGAACGGTTTGACCTAAAAATATCAAAATTGAAACTACTGCGGAAACAAAGACACCTACATCTTGGATGCCCTTGAGGTAAGCTAAAACATACCAAAAATTTATTTTAAAGTGAACTATCCATTTAAATAAAATAAATGCATTTTGTTTGTTTTTTATTTATTTTATTTATATATATATATATATATATATATATATATATATATATATATAATATAATTTATTAATTATTTTTCTCTTTTCTCTTTCTTGTAGGTAAACGTCCTAAGAAAGGCATGGCTACAGCTAAGCAGCGACTGGGCAAGATTCTCAAATTGAGCAGACACAACCCCTTCTTTGTGTAGTACTAGTGATGGGATGCTGAGTGCATGTTAAAGGTGACAGGGTTTTAAAGTGTGTTTGGTTCAACACATTTGGTCATAAACATTGTATTGGCTACCAACCAACCCAAAGCTTTAGAATGATCTGAAAAAGCGCTTTGCCCAACATGGTTTCCTAGTTTTGCTAATATCCATCCAAAGGATCAATGTGACTGAAAGGAAATAAGACAGAAAACATCACTTTTTAAGGCTTTTGGTTCTCAACGCTTGCATCAAAATCAGGTTTTCAAAGCTGAAAGCAAAGACTAGCAGGCTGCTTCCCACAACTAAAAACACTTCACTTCAATGATGTACGCCTTAAACAAGGCAGCAATTGAGTGATGAACTGATTTCGTAAAGGTGCTTTTTTTTTTTTGTCTTCTCATTTTGTGATTGCAACCGACTTTTCCTAGCAAAGAAAATTTGCATTACTGCCTAAAGAAAAAAATTACCACGGTTGATCGCTTGAACTACCCGACCTCTCAATCAAAATGTTCTCATGTTTTAAGAGAAATGAAAGAAAAAAAATATTTTTGTCAGCATTTGTATTCATATTGGCATATTTTGTATTACAAGCTAAGTAGTGTGCGGGGTAGTTTAACTATATTTGGTCCTCTGTTGCCACCTAGTGGACATCCGGAGACTGACTGTTTGAAGCCATCATTTATATGGGGCACGTGACAACACATTTTCCCTTAATTTATTCCTTCTTTTTTTTTATGTTGGTGCTTGATTTTTCTTTTTTCTTTTTTTTCTATACTGTTATTAAATTACATATTTATTACTGATGAAAGAGAACCATTTATTTCACTAAGCATTTAGGGAGATTTGCTGTTCTTTAGGGTCTTAATATGCATCTGTTTTGAAACATGTTTAGATATTTGTGGCCGTACAGACATTTGTGCACGAGCTCAGCCATTTTTCAAAATTTCAGCTGCATTTGTATTACATTGTGGGTAAGAACAAAATGTGTTGTGTAATGGGAAGCTAATATTTAATCAAAAAACCTGCCCAATATTAGTCCCATTATTCAAAATGTTTGAAAAAAAATGAATCCGTACTGAACCAGTAATGTCACCTCCTGTTATTTGGCTGGTTTTTACTGTTATTCTAAATATCTGTTTTTGTTTCCAGAAGTATAAAGTTCAGCTGCCTCATCAATTTCTAAAGCATTGAAACACTGTTTGAACTGGTGCTGTGTATAGTGAGAAAACGAGACGTTTAAGACGGCCATGGAGCGTGGGAGAATGTTTACCCTTTTTTACGTTGAAATGTATTTGGCTACACGTCTTTTTACAAAGAAACGAAAAGAGTATTTATTTTTGTAAAATAAGTCTTAACAGAGAGAATTGTACCAACAACGTGTATCGAAATATGGCGATAGCCTGGCGTTTTGTAAGATGTGTGTGTGATTTGGAGGTAGTTTACTCTGGTTCTGTGTGAAAGACCTCAGGTAATTGTTCACGCTCAAGGTTTTGGATTCCCTTTGATGAATGCCAAATAATGTAATTATAAAAGTCAGGTCTTGCTTTCAATTGTGGTGTCCCGACAGCGAAAAGAGCTGTTTTATCTAATCTTATATGAACATTTCTTGATAAGTATCCCCATGAAAGGAAATCTCCTCCTTTTGTATTCCCATTATGTTTAAAACATTTACAGCAACTTCAACATAATCTACAAAGCTCTTCAGGCAATAACACACATTCCATAAGCTTCCAGGAACTTTTCTGATGGATTTCATTGACTTGCTGAGGTACAAGTACAGCAGCTCAGGGCTCACATATGGACTGGTTTTCTGACTAATTATTCTAAGGGCTTCAGTCAACCCAAAGGTGGACCGAATTGAACAGGTGATCACAACCAGCTCAGTATTGCTACTGTATGTCATCTTCCAATGTTTTTATGATGGTTTATTGTGGACCACGACACTCAAGCATTGTGTTTTGATCCATTTGGAAGATAAAACCACAATGCCATTAATGTAGCACCTGTTGTTTTCCCCCTCGATAAGGCTATTTGTCTGACCAGGATTTGGGCCAAAGTGCAGTTTGGGGGATTGGAGGAGCTTCTGTGTCTATCAAAAAAATCCCACTGCACTAACCATGTCCTGCATTAGCTATGTTACACACTACACTGTTTGATTTTTTTATTGTTGCTGTTTTCTTCAACACGATGATTATCTAAATGTGCTTGAGAACTTGCTGGCCTGCAGGCAGGGTTTGTACGTTGCAGGACTTGTACAGTATTTATTTGGCATTCTCGGTTGTGTTTTCCATTTTCTGGTCTTGCAATCAATTACTTGTTTGTTTATGGTGTGTCCTCTCTCATTTTCAATGCATTCAACTGTTTGAAAATGTTTATATGGTTGTATAATTTTGTTTAATATTTTGTGACACTGTAATCCACAGCCAAGTCTCTTTAAATTGAGATTTTCAGATTTACAATGTGGCCTGTACATATTAAAAGTTTTACGAATGAATATGATGTTTCTGGGTGTTTTGTTAACATTGATCCATGCTCACATTGCTAACCAGCTGCATGAGATTATCAAAACCGATATTGATCGCATTATTTGGGTCCTTAAAATAGCCCATGAGAACTAATTAGAACTGTAAAGTTTTCTTTTGTAATATTTTTTTTGTTTAATTATGTTACATTTACAAATCACACCATATAATTATACACACACACACGCATGCATACATACACACACATATATTGCATACACTACATTTTATATATATATATGTTTGGGTGTGTGTGTATATATATATATATATATATATAGGGCTGTCAAACGATTAATCGCATCCAAAATAAAAGTTTGTGTTTACATAATATATGTGTGTGTAGTACTGTGTATTATTATTATGTATATAAATGCACACATGTATACATTTAAGAAAATGTTATTTATATATAAAATGTTTATATAAAATATACATTATATATAGGCTACATTCAGTCTATATACAGTATATACATGCAAATGTTTCTTAAATACACATGCATGTGTGGGTATTTATGTATTAAAAATAATTATACAGTACACACATATATTATGTAAACACAAACTTTTATTTTGGATGCGATTAATCGTTTGACAGCCCTAATATATATATATATAGTAGAGATCAAAATTAAAGAACAACATACAATTTCCTAAAGTTCAAGGTCACTGCTTAGTGCTATTTAAAGTTATCCTAACAGGAGCAGAAGGGCTGTTTTTTTTGTTGCATATTTCATAAGTGAAATATATTTTGAAGTACAGTATATGAAACCTAAACGAGACAATTAAAAAATAAATGGTCAAAATTAGAGAACTCATTCAGATTCAAGTTATTGGTGATAATGTGGAACCTGGTGCTAATTTCCTTAATTATCTGTCAAACCCTATTTAACTGGCAGCAAACTATCCAATTTTAACTGACTTTGCAAGATGGCAAGCCGCTCTGGTGCCTGAAACCCTACGACACCAGGTTGTCCAGATCAAGGCCAAAGGGATGACCCTGCTATTGCAACAGAAATTGTCCGTTCTAAATCTGTGATTTCTAAAATATTGAAGCTTTACAAAGACACTCACTTATTCATTCAAGTCCCCCAAAACGGCTGGTCGTCCACGTAAGACAAATGCACGAGAGGACAGGGCGATGCGGAGACCTTCAATGGGGAATCGGTTCTACACTGCAAGCTGGAATTGCTCGCCAGTTCAGAGCTGAACACAGTAAGGATCTGTCTCGGCATACAGTGATTCGGACTGAAAGCTCACTCTGCAGTGACCAAGCCTCTCATCAGCAGAAAGAATGAAAAGGCTCACCTTTGTGGAGGAGCATGTTGTGTGGACAGAGGAGAACTGGTCGAAAATTCACTTAAGTAATGAAAGTAGGTTTAATTTATTTGGGTCCGATGGGACGGCGTCAAACTGGGGAAAGATTGAACCCAAAGTGCGTAAAGAAGTCAGTCAAAGGTGGAGGAGGAAGTGTCATGGTTGGGGGATGTTTTCTGCAGCAGGAGTTGGGCCTATACAGCTACATGAATGCAAATGTTTATCAGAACCTCCTTCGGCAACATGCGGTTCCTTCCCTGCAAGCATCTACCAATCAGCCCCCAATTTTCATGCAAGACAATGCCCCGTCACACTGCAAAACGTGTAAAGCAGTTCCTTGAAGTGGAGAAGATTTAAATAATGAAATGGCCAGCCCAGAGTCCTGATCTGAACCTGATTGAAAATCTATGGAAAATTCCTGGCGACAAAGTTGTGGCTAAGAAACCTTAACTATAGTTACCGAACTGTGGAAGAGACTGGAAGAAGAGTGGCCCAAGATCACACCAGAGCAGTGTGAGAATCTAGTGATGTCCTGTGGCCGCAGATGCGCTCGGGTCATTCAAAGCAAGGGCCTGTACACTTCCTACTAAATTTTGACTGCTGTAAGCCTCATATTTTAGTTTTAATGTTTTCTTTTGTGCTTCAATGGTTATTGTTCTCTAATTTTGATTTTGAAGTACACCTTGGTTATTTTGTAAAACATGCTAGTAGAACAATGGTATACCCACAGCTAATATTCCTTCAAATTTCAAGTAACGAAGATTGACAATGTTTCTGAAAATAATAAAGTGTTTATATTGATCTCTACTTGTGTGTGTGTGTGTGTCAAAAGTTTGGAAACATTACTATTTCTGTGTTTTTGAAAGAAGTCTTTTATGATCATCAAGCCTGCATTTGTTTGATCAAAAAATATAAATATAATAATTATATATATATAATTTGCATTAGTTATATTTACAAATCAACAAATAAAAAAAAAATTACACATATATATTTCTTTAATTTTTGCATATTTTTCATGAACAATCATAAACGGATGTTTCATTAAAAAAGTGTTTTCAGATCTATTCAATTCTTATTTAGAAAAAAAAAATGAAACCACAATCTTGCAACAACAACAAAAAAACCCAGCAGAGATCCAATCTACTCTAATTGGCAATCCATTCCCACAGCAACAGGTGTGCGTTTGCATGTGCGCGAAGCCTCCATCACTTTGCACCATTTGTGCGCATGTTGAGGGGTGTCAGTGCGCGTCATTTAATATGTTGCGTAGTCGCGAGCTCGTGCGTCGTGCGCGAGCTCAATAACCACCGCACTAGGTGCGCGCGCGTGCCGTGACAGTCGCCATTTTATTTTGAAAAACCCAAATCGAACCGAGGGAGAAAGCGACCTTTTATCAGTCAAGATCAGAACGAAGAAATACGACGAAAATGATCATCCGCTCGTAATTTTTCCAGGATCGAGGTAACGCGTCCTCTGGCTGCGTTCGGGGTTTAGTTAAAATCTTACAAATAGCTGAATATATGAATTGCTTATCATATGTTGTCTGCTCGGCTAATTTAGCCTTAGCTCTTTAGCGTGTAGCTTACCTTGCTGGTGGTTTTAACGGCCAAAAAGTCTTAAAATCCCAACCGGCTCTGCGCGCACTGGTACGATCACAGTTAACGGTCGTTAGTAGTTCGGTTGATGTGACCATTAATATGCATTTTTGAAAACTTTATGAATATAAGTAACGTTAATGCTCTTGTGGTGCGCGCTATAGCTAACTACATGGTCACTGGAGTGATTTTAGACACCGAGTTTGTTGCCTTGCTCTGTTTCTCCAACCATATAAATTGTGTTGAGTGAGGCCCGGACGACAGCAGTGTAGCTGTATGCAAACCTGCATGACTGCTTATGTTTACTTGCACTGATTTACATGCTCTTATCATGTATACCAAATTGTTTTTACGCAACTATCAGTGCATTTAATACGACTTTATACATGAGTAAGATGTTTGGTTGCCATATTTGAGCAATATTCATGTTAGAACTGTATGATATGGAAGTTTTTGCCAGTGTTTTACTTGTACTGGCAATCATAACTCTTGCCTGTTGTACATTTCTAACATTAATGCCCAAAACAAACAAGCAGACTGGTCCTGTCAGCTAAGTGATCTCGATGAGCATGTCGGGAACAGGCTAGTGCTCGTCACCGT